GCTCGATTCGCTGTGGGCTCGAGCTTGAGCTCAAATAGTTTTATTTTTGTTCGGCATAAAATCTTGTATGAGGCGACCTAACGATTAGGCGGGTCAATCTATCATATTTTTTTAATAAAAATGCCGTACTTTGTTTATGCTATTTTATTCGAGTATTACATTTAAATTTAAAAATATGGATTGAGTTATATCTTCAAAAATTGTGTTCCACTATGATATTTTAGCAATATTTTTTCTAAGAGACATTCCTAATTTTCATATTACTAAAAGAATATATATATACAAATTAATAAGTTGTTAAAATGTTATTCCCGTCTGGGGCGGCCTTCCATTGCTAAATAAAGCACAACAAAACCGAGTAAAAGAAAAAATAAAAATAATAAACAAGAAAAACATTACTCACATTTTGTCACCTTCTTCCTTCATGCATTCTACACCAGCAATATTCGAGCAGAGAGAAATTCCGAAAATGCAACAGAAGTTTCGAAGGAAAAAGAAGAAATCATGAAACCCACCATTTTCAGCTGCATTTGATCACATTTTTCAGTTGGAAAAGATAATTTTTTTGATATTTGATTTAGGTATTTATTTCCGAATTCGATCGAAAGATGGATGATGTGGATTGCTTTGGGAATAACGAGGTTTTCAATCCCATCATTCAATTGGGCTCACAGGTCGCTTGCTTGCTCGTCATCTCGCATTTCTTCCAAATTCTGCTTAAGCCCTTGGGCCAACCCGCACCCGTTGCGCAAATTCTCGTAAGTATGTCATCAAAAACAGATAAGTGTTCCTCGTATATGTGTGTGTGTTTGTTTGTTGATTTTCTGATGATGTTCGATGAATGTACAAGGGAAGACGCATGAGCCCATTTTGATTTATTAATTGTTTATTAAATCTGAAACTGAAAGAAAGTGATTTGTGTAGGTTCATATTGATGTTTTCTGAGAAAAGAATGATATACAGATCATGGCAGTGATTTTGTTCCAAAAATTGCTTAAACAAAGTTTCGATTCACACTTTTTTCACAAGAACTCAGTACATTTGAGCCCAAATCTTTTTTGTTCCCACATCGGGTAGCAGGCAGAGAATACCAGCTGTTCTAGCTCTGATCACATTTCCCATTTTTCCCCATTCTTTAAAAAATGCAGGCAGGATTCGTGTTGGGCCCTTCAGGATTATCCCGTATTGATATTGTCCGAGCATTCTTCTTCTCCAATGCAGCCGATTATTACGAGACCATGGCCCTATATGCCCGAATCATAATCATGTTCCTAATCGGGCTCGAAACTGACGTCCCTTACCTAAAACGAAACCTTCGTATAGCCAGCATAATCTCCTTAGCCAGCAGCTTCATATGCACCATATTTGCTATAGCCGTCACTTCCTTCATCTACGAAGAAATGGGGGCCCACGGCTCTGGAGTCATAATGGCCCTAACCCTAGCCGTAATCCTTTCAAACACGGCTTCCCCTTTCGTTGCCCGATTGGCCCACGACCTCAAATTCGCCAGCACAGACATCGGCCGCCTAGCAATATCGACTTCTTTGTTTGGCGACACTTACGCCGTCTTTTTGCTGATTATAATTTCGAGAAATAAGCGGGAAAATAAATTTTCGAGCTGGGTTTGGCTCGGTTTGCTCTACTCTCTCATTGTTATAGTGGTTATTGTAGTGAACAGGCACGTCGCCAGCTGGCTTAATCGGAGGAAGAGAAACCAAAAGTATCTGAAAAATGCCGAGCTTTTCGTGCTCTTAGCGATTCTATTCGTGGCGGCCACTTCGCTCGAGACGATGGGTTTTAGTAGCATTATCGCGTGTTTTTTGTTAGGGGCAATGTTTCCTAGAGGGGGTAAAACGGGAAGGACACTCATGATAAAGCTTTCGTATTTCGTGCACAATTTCGTGCTTCCGATATATTTCGGGTACAGTGGGTTTAAGGCGGATATAACGGTTATCGATAGTTTTCGTAATTTCGCGATAGTTGCGATTGTGATACTGTTGAGTATTGGAGGGAAAGTGACGGGGACGCTGGCTGCATGCTGTCATTTGAAAATCCCACTTAATGAGGGGGTTCTCTTAGCTTTCTTGATGAACTTGAAGGGGCACGTGGATTTGCTTGCCCTTACGATCGGGTTGGAGAATAAAGTAAGTTTTGTCTTCTTTTTTTTTTCATTTTGCTGTTTATATTTTTGCTTACTCGTCTCAAAGAAGGAAATATGTGAAGGTGGTCTTATTAAGTAGTTAAGTAGTAATCATCGTGCTAGAAAAGATGCTGAAACTCTCCTAGAATACCGAATATTATGTGTTGCGCATTTAAAGGGAATCAATAAACCAAAGTATTTTTTGGTCTAACTACACAAAAATCAAAATCTAGCATCTTTATGAAACTACAAGTATGGACACATTTCCTGGCTTTTGTAGTTACTAAACAAACGAAAATGAATCTTAAGGTTAGTATCGAAAGTTTTTGGTCTAATTACACAAAATCTATCATCTTTACGAAACTACAAGTATGGACACATTTCCTGGCTAGCTTTTGTAGTTACTAAACAAACGAAAATGAAATCTTAAGGTTAGTATCGAAAGTTTTTGGTCTAATTACACAAAATAACATCTTTACGAAACTACAAGTATCGACACATTTCCTGGCTAGCTTTTGTAGTTACTAAACGAACGAAAATGAATCTAATCTCAAGGTTTACTATCGAGAAAGTTAAAGACCGTTCGAAAACATGAAAAATACTAGTTGGGTAAATTTCAAAAAACGGTTACATTAACAAATTTCCCGAAAATGCAGGTAATGTCGAGCCAAGTATTCTACATCCTGATGATGGCAGCCGTCGTGATCAACTCCCTACTGTGGGGCCCACTCATCTCCTTCATGGTCCGTCGGGAGAGCGATATCCTCGGCTACAAGCACGTGTCTTTCGAGTACCAATCCCCCGAGTGTGAGCTCAAGCTCTTATCCTGCGTCCACGGGCCTCGGCCCGTGGCCTCCATGATCGGCCTCATAGCCTCCTGCAAAGGCTCGGATCACGTTCCCATCACTCCTTACCTAATGCACCTAATCGAGCTCCCAGAAAAGACCAAAACTAACCTTCTCTACCACCAAAAGGAAGAAGACGAGCTGAGTGACGACGAAAATTACGGAGGTAACGACGTGGTCGAAATAAACGAGGCCGTCGATATTTTCACGGCAGAGACGGGCATTTACATTAACCAGGTGAAAGTCGTCTCGCCTTTCGCAACAATGTATAGCGAAGTGTGCGAATTTTCCGAGGATGTTCGGGCCTCGATCGTTATCTTACCTTTCCACAAGCATCAAAGGATAGATGGGAAGTTGGAGCCCGGGAAGGAAGGTATACGGGCCACGAACCAGAAAGTGCTCAGGCACGCAAAGTGTTCTGTGGCGGTTTTAGTGGATCGCGGGCTTACTTCGCATGTTCCGGGCTCGGGCTCACTTCAGCATGTGGCAATGTTGTACTTTGGTGGGCCCGATGACAGGGAGGCGCTTGGGCTGAGCAAGCGCCTTGGGATGCACCAAAGCATTAACTTGACTGTGATCCGGTTCTTGCGCAGGCCCGGCCCGAGTGAGAATGTGGCCATTGATATGGATGAGAGGGAAGGGGACTTCTTGATGAGGTCTATTAACCAGGAGCCGCAGAACGATGCTGATAACATTGCGTTGAGTGCGTTTTTCAATAGGTATGTTTTTTGTACGTTTTTTTCCGGATTGGTGGTCTCTTTCGGAATTAGTAAAGTATATGATATGCCCCCCTCTTGGGGAACTTTTTGTGAAAGACATGAAATGTAGGGGTTGTTTTGTAAGGCCTTAAGAGGGGGTACTTGTAGTAAGTTTAAGGATGTTCCTGCAATTATTCTTCCATTACCATGCACTATATGAGAATTTTGGACAAATCACAAAAACTACCCTGAGGTTCGGAGTAAATACAAAGAAACCCGGAGAAATTTTGGACTTGCCAAAGGAAAGGAAATAGAATTTTACCCCAAATTTAAATGGGGTAGTCNGTATAGATGTGGAGATTGAATATATGCACTTCTTATGATAATAGGGAAAGAAAAAAAAAATATAGTACATAATCAAACCAAGGGTTTTTTGGTAGTTTAAAATCTTCCATAGGGCTTTTCTCATAGATACCCAAGTCTCGGGGGACTAGAAGCAATTTCCTCAAACAATTTGTCGCCTGTTTTTACTTTTTACCATCTAGGGTCTTCAAGAGTTAGAAATTTACTGACCAAGCATCATCATTTACAGGTATGTGACTTCGGGCCAAGTTGGGTACGTGGAGAAGCAAGTGACAGATGGTGGAGAGACAGCATCTGCTCTAAGAGATATGGCCGATATGTATTCCATGTTCATAGTTGGAAAGGGAGGAAGAGGCCACTCGACACTAACAACCGGCCTTAGTGATTGGGAAGAATGTCCCGAGCTTGGGAAAGTAGGTGATTTTTTAGCTTCCTCAGATTTCGAGCTTAGTGGTTCGGTTTTAGTTGTACAACAGCATAGAACGTCGAAAACGGAGGATGGAGATCGATAGGCATTCTTCATGTATGCATGCACTTATTAGTGGTTGGCTTGTTTATATGTTGAGAAAGATTTTTACAGAAGAGGATTTATTTTTCTCCTCTGTTTTTCCTTTTAAATCTTTTGGGAAACAGATAGAATGGAAGGGGGGGTTTAGTGTATATATGAGATAGGTTTTCCTTCTTGTGGTGAAAATTGCTTTTAGAAAAATCTCAAATGCACAAATGTTATTGTTAGACTGACTGACCATTAATGATTGATTGGGTTGATCAATCATAATTTTTGAACAAAAATGCAAATTTATGTTATGAAATCTCACTTTTTCTTATCTTATATTGAGTGTATGACATTTCAGTAAGAAATTCAAATCTTTTGAAAATGTATGACTTGAGGTTTGCCACTTTTTCTAATCTTATTTTGAGAGCATGACATTTCAGTAAGAAATTCGTATCTACTGAAAACGTATGATTCAAAGTTTGCCAAACTAAAGCTTATCGATCTCAATGAGATTCGAAGAAGATACTTACATTTCGCCATATCTATTGAAAACATATGATTCAAATTTGCCAAGCTAAAGCTTATCGATCTCACTGAGATTCGAAGAAGATACTCACATTTCTCCATCGCTCATAAGTTACATACAAAAGCGCAAAACTATCTGAGGGCATTCTCACCATACACGGATTTGGTACTTTGCCATACTGATTGATAGATCAATAATTTCAAGTTTAAAGTGAATCAACAAGATTTGAGTTATGTAAACAATCTTGAAACCGAAGCTCAGTATTATACTTGAATCAAATGTTTCATATTAGCACAGAAAATATTTCTTCCTTATCCTCAAGAATACTGCAAAAACTGGCTGCTTGCAATTGCCCCAACAATACGAATAGCTTGATCGGCTACTTACTCCACCATGGAGTCGGTCGAGGCTTCCCCAGCAGGTCTTTGAGATTTTTTCTTGCTTTTACCTGTAAAATATTAAAATAAATAAATAAATAAATCTAAAATCAGAACATGATAACACAACTCTGCAAATAGCTAATCATTATGCAAGAAAACATGATAATTGAGCCCTCGAACAAAACTTACTACAATAGCATAAAAAATGCAATATCGCATGGAAAGGACCATTGCTCACCTTTCTTTTTCAATTGCTTAACTCTGAGCTTCGAACTCTTCTTCATTGGGAACTTAACGGCAGCTTTACTGGCAGATTCTGATGGCTCCAAATTCCCTTAAAACAGTAAGCTTTCCCATCAATAAACATGTTACATGATGTAAAAAGAATCTAGCATCACTTTGAATTATGAAAATGTACTTTCCAAGATAATAAGAGCAGATAACCACATCGGAACTGCTTACGAATTACGAATAAAACACAAAAAGGTCCAAAATAGTCACAGTAAAGTAAAGCTAAATAACCAGTGAGCTGAATAAACCAACGGAGGACAAGATAATCAACAATGCCTAACATGAGTAATCTCATTTAACCCCATTGCTATACAATACTGCCAACTCAAAGTCATACAGCTAATTTACTCAGATTTAAAGTTAAATAACTAGGTTATCGTCAGCATACCATCTGCAATCTCCATCTCCACATCTTGCATCGAGATTAACCCCTTTTCAACCGCCTCTTTCTGATCCTGTTATTGCAAAAAATAAAAAACAAAAAACACGATAATAATCATAATCATAATAATGCACTGATCAGGCTAGGTGTGGAATTTTATTTAATTTTTTATTTTTATTAAGCAGATATATGGGTGACGGACCCGGCGCCATTTTTTTAGAAGCTTGCGCTTGCGCTTGCCGGAGATGGAGAGGGTCTGGGATTTCTGATGAAGTTTCCGGGAGACAGGGTCTCCGTGTACCTGCCTCTTCCGGTTGGCCACGGCGGCTCTCCGCCGCTTTTGTACGACGTTGAATTTCGCCATATTCAGAACAGCTTCTGATCTCGCCGTCTTAAAACCCTAATCGAGGTTTTAAAGGGGGAAACTTATAATAGGGCTCGGGTTGGAATAAATAAACAAATCGGAGCCCATAGAATTGTTGTGGGTCTGCGGGTTGGGGATTTTTACTTAAACTATTCTATTATTATATAAAGAGGTAACCCAATAAATCCTAAAATAGTAGCTAAAAAATGATTAGAATTCCCGCCTAAAAATTTACTAAACATAGTAACTTTTTTAAAAAAATTTAGAAATTCCGCCCAAGCATAATTTGAAATTTTCAGTCAAAAATTAAAATTCAAACGTTTAAATAAAAGATTGCCTGCAGATTTTTTTGGATATATTTAATCTTTATCTTATGTTTCAAATAATCTCTTCATTGTAGTTCAAGTTTAATGTACATTAAATATTTATTATTATTATTATTATCATTATATAAAGGTTTGATTATTTTTTAAATAGTAAATATTTTCCACCAAAAAAAAATCTATTTAATATTTTGAATAATTAATTTAACAATTTATAGTTTATTTCAAATAATCACTTATAAAAATTGCGTCTCATTATTTAAAGAAATAATTAACACATAATTTTATTTTTAAGATAATTACTCAAATCACGTGACTTCGGATGATTTACCCAAATATGTCAATTTCGGATGCAATATTAATTAGTGATTTGCTAAAAAAGTCCAACTAAATTGTGTAACTTATTATTTAATAAGTGTTTTATATTTTTCGTGTAATTCTTTTATGGAATGTATTATTTTTTCTGTTACCATAAAAAATGTATTTTTAATATAGAATAATTACGCAAATTGTATAAATCCAACTGGTTTATTCATTTTGCAAATAATTACTATAATTATGGAAATATTGACAACAATAATCAATTATGCGATTTGAAAAAAAATTTGTTAATTTACTTAATAAATGTTATTCATTTTTTGTGTATTTAATTATTCAACTTGTGGATAATTAATCAAATAATATAAAATGTACATTTTTAAGATATCCTAATTAGAGGTCATATAGATTTTGTTGATTTATTCAATTATAAATTTTTATAAAATTGTTCCAAGATAATTGTGTTAATTGCAATTTTCTTTCAATTATTTTTTAATAACTATTTTTTGGGTCTTTTTTATTTTTTTCTATGAAAAATGTGGGTCTCGATTTTGTTTTCTACGTTGGGAAATTAATTTGTGGTAAAAGTAATTATCATTTTTTGTATTTTATTGATAAAGTATAAAATATAATTCTTTAGTATACTATATATTGATCCAATATACCGGCTTATGGTAAGAAATAGTATCTCAATATTTTTTTTTCCATATTGCTAAGCATTTTACTTGATATTAATGAAAGAAAAATTTGAAGAAGGTCGATACTTCTTTATAAATATATATACCAAATTATTTGGTATATATATTTATTAAATCGACCAATCTAATTAAATTACACAATACTATTCACACAACTTAACAACCACAACGATAAAAAAAATTGAGATACACAATCATACCATAACAATCAGTCCATCTCATACAGTAATTGCTCAACAAGTAATATACTAATAGGATTTAGTAACATCCCAACTGATCAACAGTAGAATATTTCTAAATTGAATTTCATCCAATCAAAAAAATTATACCGCATTTAAATTAAATGAGAATTTTATTAACAATTAACTAAAAATATAATTTTCAAACAAAGTAAAATTTAATGTATTAAATAAAGTAAACGTTTTACATTACAGAAATCGTGTACTAAAGAATTTGTACAATTTTTAAATTGATTTATTGCAATTTCTTTATACTTTTCATATCAAAAATATGTATGAAATTTAACTAAATTATACTTTGTTTTTCCTTTATAAATTCAGTCATTTTTCGATCATTTGTTGTTATCCTTCATTTGATTTCATTTTTAATATTCTAAGTATTGATTTTATCTTTTATTTTATTCAAGATGAAGTGCGAATTTGGTTTGATCAACAAAGTCACTAGAACTAAGAAACTACATATGAAGTTGTGAATAATTGAAAATAAATTTGCTGTTCAATACAAAAACTACTTGGAAATTTTCTTTCATGATGAGGAGATAAGAATAAATAACTTATTTTGAATTCATTTTTCCATTGTTTTTTTACTTCATTATTTTTTTTAACTAAACATGTTTTATGTAAATTTGCACAATTTAAATTTTATAGGTAAAATGCATTACATGTATATTTCATATTTTAACTTTATAAATATTATATAATGAGCATATTTAATTTATAAATATTAATTAATATTTCTTACCCGTGCACCGCACGGGATTCATACTAGTACGTACCCGTGCGATGCACGGAACAAACATATTCAATGGTTATTTTCATTGTATTTGTCCGTTTAATTAGTATATAAAGCAATAGGTTGTCATATATTTTTCAACTCTTTTAATCAGAGTTAAGTTTAATAAACATTATAATCTATTTTACACCTCTTTTAATCAGCGTGACTTTTTTAGTCAAAACTATAAATATGAGCATGTTAGGGCTAGCTTGTAAAATAATTAATATATTATCTCACTAACACATTTATATTAATATAAATTTAATTTTAGTATATATATTTATTCCTTAATATAAGAGAGAATAACAATTTTAATTATTTTTGTTCACCATATAATACTTAATTAATATTTTATTATAAACTTTATTGTCATATAATGTCATTATTATTTATAAAGTTATAGACGTTGTACGTCTTCTTTTTCTTTTTATTTTATGTAATGAAAAATATTTAATACACGTTAGTGTATTTAATTATGTAATCAATTTAAAATATGTAAATAAATTTAAAATTAAATAGTGTGTAAAGATTTTACAAAATATACACATGTTTTTTTAGAATTTAATTTTGTATACTAATTAAACAACTTTGATTTAGAAAATGCCAAAAACTCAATCTCTTCTATGATCAAGATTTTTCTAATTCGCATTATAAGGATTTATAGTTTATTTAGCATACTCTGCTATATAAATTTATTTTACAAGAATTTAATTATAGAAATAAATTTAAAAAAAAAATCATGGGTGCCAATAATATACAAATAAATTCTAAGAAAAAAGTTAATATATTTAAATTTTAAATTTTACCATCAGTAAAACTATTTAATTTATATGGTCATTATCTCTTAAATGATAAATTATATTAATTTGAAGAACAATTTATCTTTTATATTTAACAAAATAAAGATTAAGAAAAAGTTATTGGCAAATATTAATCCACCAACTTGATTTTGTCTGATTACAATTTTATCTAACATGTTACGATTTTTTTTGGGTAAAAATTGAATATTTGTGAAAAAAAAAATTATATTATGGTTAGAACTTTAAAAAAAAAAAGAGTTTTAGAAAACGTTCTTGGTCGAAAACAGTGTGAATGAAACACGTTAATAAATTGAATATATGGTGTAATATTTATCTTGACCAAAATATAATCAACATGGATCATGGAAATCAATCTTGTAATTTATTATAATGAATATCAATGCAAGTATTACAAATATTAACAAAATAATATTTATCTTGACCAAAATATTATCGACATGAATCGCGGAAAATCAATATTGTAATTTATTATAATAAATATCAATGATAATATTGCAGATATTAATAAATTTATTTAAGTAATTTTTTGATCATATCTTATTTGATCTTATATGAAAACGTGTATATGGAAACAATTAATGTATATATTTAAAAAGTTTCTAAAAATGGTATATATTAAATGTTTTCTAAAATTTTGGCTACTATTTTTAGTAAATGGTAATTCTTATTATATATATATATATAGATTAATTAATTTATTAGTTATTTATAAATTGAATTAGAGCCGAGCCGAGCTAGAGTGTAAATGAGCTAGAAATTGAGTTCGATCTTGGCTCGTTTATCAATATTAACGAGCTGAATTCAAGACAATCTCAAAGATTAACGAGCCAAATTATATAAAATTATATAAAAATTTTCGTTTCGTGTCTTACCGAGTTGAACCGACCCAAGCCAAGCCCGACTCGTTAACAGAACAAACTTTTAGTGCCTCGAGCTCGGTACATTTATCAAACAAGTCGAGCTGAACTAATGAGTTGCTCATTTCATTTAACCGCTCTATTGAGCCCTAATTTAGAGTATTCAAATGGAGTGGGCTGCAAAAACAAATTCAAATAAGCTCATGAAAACTCGAGTTCGACTCTTTCATTTACTAGGTGGCAGGTGCTTAACTCGAGTTCGACTCGTTCGTTTGCTAGGTGCTTAATTGTGGCCTCCAAAGAGAAGTCTCTCTTAAATGAGTTGAGCTCAAATAATCAATTGAACTCGTTTATTAAACGAGTCGAGTATGATCAATCTTGTTTCGCCAACAAACGCGTTTATTTTTCTAGAAGGTTTTGACCAACAGTCAAACCGAGCTAAGTAGACTTGTTTGTTAAACAAGCACAAGCTCAACCACAAAGGCCTGACTCAACTCGAATAACATCTCTATTCAAACACTACTATTGGGAATCACACATATATATTCAAACACTACTATTACCCATCATGAATCCTTATATATAGTTCAGCAAACTAGAAATTGCATGATTGGAGCAGCATTAATTCTGTGCACGTCGCGCACAAAAGAAATTAAGAAAAAAAAAAATAGTTGATTCATACAAACAAACCTAAGACCTTCATCAACATATCAAGAAAAGAGTGACTTACACAAGAAAATTCTGTCTTCAACATACATACATTCTGGCTTACAAATCACAAGAAAACAGGCGAACATCGATTTTCACAATAACTCAATCTTACGTTTCAAATGAAGTACAAACTTAATCGATAGAAGAAAAAAAAAGGAGCCCACATTTCCATGCAATTTTCCGACTCCTTTATACGTAATTTCAAACTAAACCTTCTTAGGTTGCCAGGGTTGGTATCTGGTCCAGTCTCTTTGACCAGGGTTAAGGGTATGGCCTTTCGAGTGGTAAATATATTCATCTCCCTCACCCGAAAAATTTTCTTTGTGCTCAACACCATATCTCGTTGGCTTCAACAGAAGCAACTATATAGCGATGTGCAGAGATAGATTAGCATACACTAGAAGAGTACATGGTGATATAAATTTAGTTAACGGCAGCATTATTATCTAACCTCATCCCCCGTGTGATCGGTTATGTAATGTAACCAGCCGTGCCATTCGGGCGGGACTTGAGAAGCATTGTAGCGATTCTTTGAAGCATATTCAACCCACCTATGTCTTCCTAGAATTGAAAAAAAAATAAAAATGGCATAATGTACGTCAGTTTTTGGGTGAGTGAAGGCGCGAAACAGAATATTCACGACTGGAGGAAGAAAGGAATTCAGCATCGGAATATACACACAAACATATATGTAAATCCAAAATGTGCTCGTAACAGCAGAAAGTTATTTTAGAAAAGAATTAGCAGGAGTGTAGGCAAATAAAAAAACACGACTGACCATATTGAGTGTCTCCAAGTTTCTGATAATACTTATTGCCAAACTTGTCAACACCCACAAGCATTGCACCTATATTGTGAATCTTTGTTTGCCTAAATTAACAAACAGAAAAATGATATCCAGTTGAAGATATTCCAGCAACATTACAAGACATGTAAGATTTAAACTATCAAAACATGCTCAGAGAGAGCGAGATGCTTTGTTTGCTTTAGTTCTACACTAACAAGCAGAGTAAATGGCAAAGAAAGGAACTGCATAAATGCGCCACGGTGAGAGTCGCTAACATACGGACCTAATCTCAGATTCGGTAGGATTATAACTTAGTGACTATGACTGATAGTTCCTTAAATACAGCATCTGGATCAGAAAACCTACGAAGGTAAGATAGAAAAAACTTTGCACGGATAAGAAACTGTTGAACCAGAAATCATAATTTTTTTGTATCCCTTATGTCCATGAAAGCAATATAAACCTAACACATAGGAAACACAGTCCAGTGAAAAATCATAGAATACTCTAAGACAGTAGAGAGAACCACAAAAACATAAATAAATAACTTGTAATTGATGTATACAACAGTGGTTCGCTAAATTTTGAGCTATATATGGAGTAAGCAGAAAAAAATGGAACCATGTAATCGTCAAGCTTGAATTGAATTTAAATAGAGGACGGACTTGTATTTCATTCCCTACTGTCATTTAAACAGTTCAGCTTGAATAGCCTCGATTGCACACACAAACAAATCAAACTCGAGTAATATCAAAATCTTGGCATACATGCCTGATTACCTGTCAACTAAGTGTGTCAAGCTCAAACATAACTTCAAACTTTGTCAACATCAAGAACCTATGCAGGTAGATTTCTACCACTCCATAAACAATCCACCAGTTCCTTATCAAGTGATCAAATTTCGACTATCAAGTAGCATTGTTTTGTTCGTTTTTAACTTATTCGCAACACACATTGCAGCTGGTTCATCAAACAGCAAGTTGCAAAATAACTTCTTGTTAAAACATAGAGATTGACATCAACAAAAAAATCTCATGAACACGATGAATAAACTCATCATTAAACAATTATGCATTTCATTGTCAAATTACAACATTTAAGAACCTAGCATGCTAAATGACATACAGTCCACTACTTACTAAGGGGCCATGAGGGGCATGCCACATAAAATCTACTTACATGAGATTCCCATCCAGAAGTGCACTCCTGCAAAGAAAGTAAAAAGAATTTTAGAGACACAGTTAACGCATAAAACTGCAAAACACACATAACATACACCCAAAGAGCACTGCAAGCTCACAAAATGATAACCACCAAACAAAGCATTAGCCAAAACATGTGCAACAAGAACACGGGATATCAATTATATTACTTCTTATTCATACGTCAACAATTCCTCTTCATTTGCGAAATACCTAAATCGCACTTATTGTGAATCCTATGAAGTATCAACTATCAACCAAATCAAAAATGGGAACGAAAAAAAAAAAATCCCTTCGATTGAAAGCTACGGATCACATGGATCAACCATAGAAGCCCGCGATGCAAAATTTTGGATTTTCTGCAAATAACCAAAAAAATGTAAAGATGGCTTACAAATATCCTTCAGCTCGAAGCTCCCGGAGAAAACCTCCGACGCCTTTCTCTCTGATCAAGCCAATCGCACCTCTAAGCACCGATGCCATTTTATCGCTCTAACGATCTCTCGGTTTAGCTCGGTCACTGTCAAGGGAACACGACGAAAATTCGATAGACAGTACAGATTTTCCGACACAATGGATGAATGGATTCGAAAATAGGAGGCTGGTTAAGTGAAGTATATGGGCTTGGGCCAGTTTCCGTGGAGAATTAAGGACAGGTTATCTTGTTAAAATAAATTATTACTTAATTGACATGTAGTATTCCATTTATAGTCCATTTTATTACCATTTAGTATTTTTTAATATATTATTTATATTTTATTTTTTTGTTTAGTTTTTTAATACTTTGTTGACATATTAAACTGCTGTGACAGTTCCTTTACATTTTCTCTTTTATTTATACCATCATTATCTTATTCTCGTTCTTCTTTTTTTTTTGTCTCCTTCATTTCCAAAAAACACCAGTTTCCTTCCCCATCGTTTCTTTTAATCTCATTTCGCATACCTAGGATAAGCAAGTAATTCACGGTGAGGCTTCGAACTTGAAAAAATCAACCGACGTATAAAGGCTTGTGTCGGCGATTGACGAGTTCGCATGCAGTTCTTGTGGTTTCTATTCATGAAGAAGGCGGCTAGGCGGGATTGGCGGGTGGTTGACATGCCCAATATTATGGTATGTTGATGACCTATTTTATTTCATGAAATTTTTCGTTAATTTAATCCCATGAGGAGTTAAAGATAAATATTTACGATTTTTTTTAAAAAGCTTCGATAGATTTATTTACTTTTCTAATTCAGATGCAATCATGGCAGCGATGAATGATTTGGGTCTTATATATGTTTAGATATGAGAATTATATGTGGAGATTTGATTTTTGTTTTTTTCAGACGACGTTTTTAAGTTTTTTATTGATTATGATTTCTTTAAAACATTAGTCGTGTTTTCGATCATCACCAACTATGTTTTCTGATGGTTTATTTGTTGTTGCTTCTTGGTGTATGTGACGTTTCTGTTGGGTTTCATAGTGTTGTTTATTCTCTTGTTTTGGATGGTAATTCTAAGGAGGTGTATATTTGTTTGGCTCTTTTAATGTAATTTTTGTGTTGTTTTGTTTAATATTTTTAATTATTATGTATGTATATAATCTATTGATCACTTTTTTTTTTGTGTATATTCTTTTTCTTATGAATTAATGTGAAGAAGAAGAAGAGGAAGAAGAAGAAGAAGAATGCGCCGAAAAGGAAAAAAGATATAGAAAGAAAAGATAGAGAAGGAAAGGAATATATTTAATTTTTGGAATGTGTATCAGTTTCTTTTGAACGTGGCAGTTTATAATAATCTATACTTATATTAAAGGGGCTACTATTTACCAAATTAAGTAGTCAGAAAAGCCAACAACATTTATTGCATTACTATTTCCGTATTATACTATATAAAAGGATATTCTATTTACTACATTTACTATCCAGAAAAGTCAACTGTATTAAATGTCATTATTATTTTGGTCTTATAATATTTTATTTATTTAATTAATTTATTTATTTGTTTTATTTTTAAAAAGTAAGTATAATAAAAAGATTTTAATAATAAAAAAATTAAATACCAAATAAAAATGTACACTTTGACTTATTTGATTATATTTGGTATTTGATTATACCAAATATATTCCTATTTAGTATATACATTAAATACTTACTAAAGTATTTTATTTGTTTTATTTGTCAAAGTTAAGTATAGATTTGTTTATATTATCAAATCATAAAAAAATATTAAATTCATATTAAAAAAAAATCATATAATTTTATAACAATTCTACTACACTATTTAACAGTATTCTTTTTTTATTATATAATAAAATAATAATTAAATATTATATGGTGAACAATAATAAGTAAAACTGTTACTTTCTCTTATATTAAGGGATAAATTTATATGCTAAAATTAAATTTTTAATAGTATAAATTTTTTAGTGAGATAATATATTAATTATTTTACAAGCTAGCCCTAACATGCTCATATTTAATGTTTTAAAAGATGTAGAAAAAAAACTTATAATAACTCTATTGTTTTTTAGACTTAAACGTTGATTAAAAGAGGTAAAAATTCTAAATTTTTTAGACTTAAACGTTGATTAACATCATATGAGAGTTTATATTTAGTAAAATTCCTAATTGTAATAAAAATATTAATTTTTTCTATATTTTAGAATATCTTTAAATTCATTATAAAAAAAAAACTATAATGAAAAAAGCAAGTCAGCTATATATCGATTTGTTATACTCCTCAAATCACATTCACAATTTGGCTACAAGGAAAGGAAACTCATTGATGAAAATATTATTTTGTCAGTACTCTTAATGTACAAGAGACTTTAAGACTCCACTTGAATATTATAAAACTTTTATTGAACATTGTACAATTTCTTGCGTATTATAAACTTTTATTGAATATTGCATCTTATAATATAATATTATCCAAATAAATATATCTCGTGCTTCGCACGTACTATATATATCCCGTACATTTTTCTTTATTCATTTATATAATTATAAGCCTGGATAAATAGTTTTAAAATTGTGCACCCCGTGCATCGCACGGGCTCTGTACTAGTTGGAATGAAAGTGATTAGTTTTGGAATTCAATGTACATCTATATATATATAATAAGAATTAATATTTTTTAAAAATAGTAAGTCAAATTTTGTTCAAAATCCTATCTGCATTAATTACATGCCACTTTTGGCAACTTTTTTTTTTCTTACAAAAAAATCGGGCAGCATTAAATGTTGCTCTTAAAATGTGGGATTTGTTCAATCACAAAAGATTTGAACACATTTTTAGAGATTAAGACCCTTATTTTAAATTAAATTTCAAAATACAGTCAAAATTTATATAACCGACTAAGATTTGTAACCATTTTTAAAACAAATAGACATTCAAATAGAAAATGAGACTTCATTTTCGGTATTCATTTTTTCGACTGAATAAAATTCGGACTTCAACCGAAAATTGAAAAATTATTCCAGATCCGTCCATTAAACTTACAAAATTTCTAAAATCTACAAAAAAAAAAAAGCAATATGAATCAAAATAATTGAACAACACATTACATAAGTCTCGATATTCAAAAGAAAAGCTTTTGAAATGGTCGAAATAGTAATAACAGAGTCAGTTTCTCATCGGTCTCGACCAAAAAACAAAAATAAAATCTTAGAACACACAAAAAATATGACAATCAAAATAAATAAAATAATAGATGTATCTTTCTAAACATAAAGACAAGATATAATATCGATCTATCTAACATAAGAAATCGACTCATAATAGATATGATTGATTGTTTAAAAAATAGAGCATTTTTGTGAAAATTTGAAAGAGTATTTTATCAAGTTTCTATAAGTGATATAAGAGAGAGAATAGAGAAGGAAAGCGGTGGAAGGAGGAGAAGTAATGACATAACCCTAATAATTTGGATATTTTTAACTTTTTTAGATGGCATCTTTGATTTCTGACCGTTAGATATCGGTTGACTAATTCAGACTGTCTGATCCATTCTTTTAAGCCATAACGAGTTGAGATGTTGGGTCGCACTTAATGATTCGGTCTGCTTTCATGGTTGGGCTTTATTTGGGTCAATTCAATAATATATTATTGGCCCGTTAAGTTTGACCCGACCAGTTTAGTTGAGTACATTATATTGTGAAACATAATTGGGCTTCAATTTTTTTTTTAAATAGACAGACTTCGCTATATAAAAATAAATAAATATATAAATTCCATAAATTATTATAGCCGTGCATAGCACGTAATAATAATAATAATAATAATAATAATAATAATAATAATAATAATAATAATAATAATAATTTTTAAAATCTTGCATACTCAAATTTTCACACGTGACATCATAATTCTCTTTAAAAAAAGTATCAATAGTGATTCCTCACTTACGTGACTCGAACTCGAAACTCATTTATAATTGTTATTTAATATTGTTTACCCGTGCATCGTACGGGTACGCACTAGTTATATCATTAATGGAAATCTGTTTTATTAAGGACTCATTTATGTACTTTCGCCCGGAAAGTGATTTAAATCCAGTCCATTATCAATCGTAGCAGCAGGCCTTGAAATTTGGTTTAGAAACATGAGAACTTAGATATTTTAGGGGGTGATTGTTTATGGATTCAACTACTTTTTATTTGGTTTGTTTTTAACTATAGTTAATTTTGGAAAAAAGAGGTACGGTTAGTTGTTAGTGGATATATTAAAATAATATTTAAATAAAATAATTAAAGTTGATTTGATGTAAAGTAGGAGAAAAATGATTGAAAGTGATGGTTAGTTAAAATTATGAGAGTGGATGAATAATGAATTAAAGTTGATTTGATGTGTAAGAATGATTGGTTGATATTATTTAATTATATTAGTAATATTAAAGATAATGGGGTTGAGTTAAAGTTGAATTAAATTTGAGTTTTGATTTGTTTTTTTTACTATTCAATTTATATCCAATCGCCCCCTTTTAACATTTTGAACTAAAATTATATATATATTTTGAAAAATTATATTAGTTAAAAGTTTGACTAGTTATGTCCCCTATTAAACATATTTGGTGAAAATGTATTTTAAAGTAGCTTTTATTCTTAAAAACTATTTAAAAGAAAAAAATCGAATAAAGGATTGAGATTTTTTAAAATGGTAATTTTGCTTATTTTTTGTTATTAATAATATTAATTAGTAAACATAAACTAATTACAAAAAAATTATGATTAATTATTTGTATATTTATGCATTAAAATTATACTTAATATGTTTATATATAAGCAACTCAATAATTGTACATTTTACATATTTAGACTAGTGATAAATAAATGTTTACAACAGTTTATTCATAGACAGATTTATAATAAATATACTTAATAAAAATATTCTTAATGGACTTCATTTTCTATTAATATTCCGTTATTAATCATTTACTAAACAATTGTCTACAACCAACCGATGTTTTTTAATGTTTTCATTTTATATGAAAAATCAACGTTTTAATTATTCCGCAACATTTCTATAGTGTCAAACGAGCTAATAACATTAATTGTTTGCACTATATATGAAAAAACAACTTTTATTTATTTAGCAAACATTTCCGTAGTGTCAAACGAGCTAATAACATCAATTTATTTACGTTCAGTTGATAAAATCAGTTATATCCTATCCATCAACTGCTTATATCAAACAAAACCTAATAATGTTGAGCAGATTGAAGGTGCGTACAGCTTTTTCACTCAGAATTAACTTATTTATATTGCACATTTATAAATGTGCGTTTGATGAAAAAAAATCAGCAAAATTAGCAATACCTATTTGAACAAAGACAGATTAATTGGATAATATCATGTCATAATCCATGAAGATTTCATCACTTCACTGTAATTTGAGTACATAAA